TTGTCGACAAAATTAATTTTTGTTATTATTTGTAATAAAATATTAATAATTATACATTATTATATATATTAAAAAATAACCACAATGTTTATATATATATTAATGTTTATTTATTTCTTTTTATTTATTATAAAACTCGGACATTGCAGCACAATGTTGTGGGTGAAATAAAAACATTGGAAACACAAATGGATCGCGCATCATGAACACTTGATAAAAGAATAATTTATTTTACACAAATATTTTACATTATATATGTTTGCAGGGAAACATAATTGGTTAACATTATAAAAAAATTTCGCGTTCATTTGCCAACTTTGATGCATATCAAGCATATTATATCATATTTTTAAATTGTGGAACGCTTAATAAGTAATGTGTTAATGATTCCATTTTTATTATTAGCATAGAACAAAGAGAATAAACGAACGACTTCTGCACTAATCTATATTCGTAAAAATGCTGATCAAGAATACTACGTATTTTTCAATTCGTGATCTGTGTATGTGCTAGAGGAGACAGACATATCTGTTGAAAAAATTTATAATGGTCAGACGCTTCTTAACATTAAAATACTGAGCAGTCAGGAGCATAAAAGCGGAAAAGATATATGTGTAAAACGTATATAATTCGTCGGTGATAAAATCAGATAGGATAAAGAAATATAATTGAAAGTAAACAAACACACAAGAATAGATTCATCGATGATAAAACAAAAATTCAGTATATGACTAATGAAAACAAAAATTTAAGTTAAAAATAAAAATAAAAATTAAAAAAATTAAAAAATAAAAATTAAAAACACAAATGTCGTTTCGACCTTATATTAGGTCTTCTTCAGTACGGTAATACAACGCGATAATAAGATATAAAGATAATTAACGAAATAATAAATATGCAGAGACTGTCAAGTACAAACGATTAAGAAATTAAAACTAAAAGGCAACGCATGATTGCGTTAAGCACCAACCGGCTGGTGCGCGCAAATGTAGTGTCCAATATGTAATCTTGTCATACCCGCAAATGCTCTCATTTTGCGTATTGTTGTGATCCGAGATACGTGTAATCGCCTCGCTTCTAATTGCCATCAATCTCGCTCTTTTTGAATTCTTGATGCATATTTTTGCATGTTTAGACGACGTGAACAATCCCCAATGTGTAATGCTAATGAGCGTGGAAATGTCATTAAGTGAGAGATTCACTTCTTCTAGGTATGAAGAAAAAGTATTGACCACAATACCACTTAATATATTTAAAAAGATAAATTGTATAAGATGGAATTGGTCTTAAATGAGTCTTAACGTTGTGAAATAGATAAAACAATGCAGATACCTTGGAGACAGTTCACGCGGTCAATTGTAAAGACGGATCGGCGCTACGGATAGTTAGTCTCTGAAAGAAACTCACAAAATGTGTCAACAACAAAAATATCATTGCTAAGAAAGATCGAAATGTTCAGTTAAGGAGGGGGAATTCTGGTGGAAAGGAAGGAGTATGGAAGCTGGGGATAAGTTAAGGATGAGAAAGTAGTTATCGGATAACAAATCCGTGTCACTTTGTTTATTAATCCCCTGAGGCTGTTTTTTAATGTGAATCATTTCAGAGACAATCTTTTTGTTACATGACGGTTCTTTGTCTAGAATCTTAATATTATCCCAATCAAACTCATGTTTAAAATTCATTCTGTGAATCGAAACCATAGATGGGGAACCAGTAGCTTTTTTAATGTCACTGTTACGTCCAACCCGAGGTAAATATATTTTTATATATTTTTTTTTAAATGGATGGGGCTTGGAAGGACGCTCCAAATACCCTCTCGCAGGTGGCCGCGCTGAGGCGTCCCTACGAGTCGGACACACTGTGCAGAGCCACGAGTGCGAGTCAACGTCTTGAAAAAGACGCTATGACTTCGACTGCGTGACGTGCGTCCGTCGGTCCGTAATTTAGGCAAGAGAATTTAATCTCTTTTGCCAGGGACAGGACCATGCGCGAATCTTGGGATAACGAGGAATGAAAGAGGGAGCAAATAACTAAACGATAAATAATTTAAATTTTACATATAATTAATAATTTTAAAATGATTACAAGGTTAGGTACGTATCAAGATCGTATACAAGATCGTACATTAGCTACAAGATCGTATCATTATTTTTTTTTTTTACGTTGGGATATATTTATTGACGATATATTTATAAAAATATAAAACAAGAAGGGTGTTACGTACAGAAATTCGTGTGTTCTAGAAATCGACGGATGTATTGTTTGGTTTTTCTGTGTATAATTCTATTAATCTATTAGTTTAGTATTTTTAATTTGTTATTAATCTATTTTAAATTGTATGTTGTTGACTGTGTGTGGTTGTTCTGAGAGGAGGTCGGGTTTTCGCTAGTGAGGTCTAGGGGAGGAGGGGAAGGAGTCCGTAGTTCACAGAACTCGTCCAAGGATTTCTGGGTGCGGAAATCTGGGTATGTCTGGAGGTCATAGCGCTCTGGGAAGAGTACACTGAAATCTGGGGGTGATCTGGGAGATTCAGCTGGTTTGATCGGGGAATAGGATGGAGGAGATATGTGTAAATAATGGGGTCTCCTGCTGGAACAACTCGTGGTTTCTTGATGTGTTAAAACCTCGGATGTCCTAGGCGAAGGATAGTTCCCCGTCTGGCGAGCTCGCTTGTTCCGACGGTAACGGAGCCTCTTCAGGGCTCGCCTCCGTCTTTGAGCGTCGGAGAGTGTGGATGATGCAGCTTTCACTAAAAGAAATGGATTTGGAATATGAAGGAAATGTCATTAGTCGCGAACCTTAAGGCTATCTCTGAAATATTTCAGGAAACCGAGAGATCCGAGAGGAGAGAAATTAAAAAGGAATAGAGAAAATTGTAAGAGAGGAGAGAAAAAGGAAAAGAATAGATTTCCCGAATTACTCGACAGCCATGAACCTGCTGAATGCTCCGCAACGCATAAGGAGCCCGAGAGGTTCGACGGCTGAAGCCAACAGAGGAGAAGCAGATTTTGGCCGAATTATTCGGCAGCCATGAACCTGCTGAGTGCTCCGCAACGCATAGGGAGCGTCGAGAGGTTCGACAGCTGAAGCCAACAGAGAAGAAGCAAACTATTCGGCAGCCATGAACCTGCTGAGTGCTCCGCAACGCATAGGGAGCCCGAGAGGTTCGACAGCTGAAGCAAGGAAAGAAAGAGAAAAGAAAAAGAAAAAGGGAGTAGACGTGTAAGGAGAACGGCAGAGGATAGAAAGGGTGAATGAGAAAGTATAAAGAGAAGAGACCCGAAAATTATTACTAAGAGAATTTTTTATGTGTAATTAAACTTACTTTTATTCTGTAGAGTTGAGATCTGCGAGATGAAAGCGGTAATAGTGTCGTTAGGAAACTTGATCGCTTGTTCTTGTTGGTTGTTTTCAACTGACACTAACTAAATTATTGATAACTTGAATTATCGACAAACTGG